TTAACATCTTGGCAAGGCAGGGGATGGACATATTCTGTGCTGGAGAAACCGATGGGCAGTGCTGGGTGAAGTAGAAATTTCCGAGCTGCCTTAGCAGGTGGATGCTGAGCGAGGCAGAGGATGGCGCTCAAAAGGCAGCCCAGGTGACACACTGTTCACCAAGGCTATTGGGGATGCACTGGTGAGGGGGCATCAGCATCACCACGCTGCTAAGAGGTGTCCCTGCTCTGCAGGCCAGGGGTAACTGTAGGAAGGGTGGCTGCAGAGCTGGGCTCATGGATATCCATGGGTAGAATGAGAGAGGACCCTGAAATATTAGCATCCAGGAGACTGTGCTTAACCACCAAAAGCTCTGAGGCTGCAACTACCCTACTCACTGAGGAGGTCACAGAAGCAGCGGAAGATACATGACCATAAGGGAGCTGTGGAGATGGTTAACAGAGCCTGGCCTCCCCAAGGGCAAAATAAACAGGCAGCCAGGGAGGGTGCTGCTTAATACCTACAATAAAGGCAAGGACAGAGTAGCAGGAGGCTGCAGAGGCTGTCCCACTAAAACATCATGATCCCGTATTTAGTTTCTCGATCTGAGCCAATTTTCAGATTCAGAACCCATTGACTACAGAGGTAGATCTCTACACCATGGCAAGCTGTACTGTGATGCTAGCTGTATTAGATGGTTTTTCAACAACAAAACTTATTATTTCACAGTTCTGGAGACCAGAAGTCTGAGGCATTGGCAAGGCCATGCTCCCTCTAAAACCTGGAGGAGAATTCTTCCTTGTCTTTTCCTAGTTTCTGGTGGTTTGCCAGCAATCTTTGGCCTTCCTTGGTGTATTACTCCAATCCTCCATCTTCACCTAAACTTATTCTTATGTCTTCACATCATCTTCCCTCTGTGCATGTCTGTCTCCGTGTTCACATTTTTCCTGTTATAAGGACTCAGATCTTACTGCATTAGGGCCCACCCTAATGAACTGAACTCATCTTAGTGTGGTTAAATCTGCAAAGATCCTATTTCCAAAGAAGGTCACAGCCACGGGGATGGGGGTGAAGACTTCAACATAACTTCTTTGGGGGGACACATTTCAACCCATAACAATGATTCTTACCCAGAGGTCTTTTACTGGGTGAGTAATCCCTGGGAAAAGGGGAAGACCCAGACAGTTCAAGGGCTATTGGACATAGGGCCTGCGTTGACATTGACACTTGGAGATCCAAAGTGTCATCATGGCTCCCCTGTTAGAGTGGAGGCCTATAGGGCCAGGCAATAAATGGAGTCCTGGTTAGTGTCCGGCTCACAGTGGCCCTGCTGGGTCCACTTACATGTCTGTGGTCATTTGTTTGTTCCCTCAGTGCAAACTTGTAATTGATATTCTTGGTAGTGGAATTAGCTTCAGCATTGTGTCGCTGGCCCGTGGAGTAGACATATCATAGTGGAGAACACTAAATACCCCATCACCCAAGGTGGTAAATCAAAACCAATATTGCATTCTGAGGGGGATGGCAGAAATTTGTGCCACCATTAAAGACCTCAAGTGTACAAGGTAGTGGTGCCAATAATATCTCCATTTAATTCACCAGTCTGGCCCCTGCAGAAACTGAATAGATCCTAAGGGATGACTGTAACCTACAACAAATAAAACAAATAGTAGCCCTGACTGCAGCTGTTATGCCAGACATGACCCATGGCATGGAGTCATCGACCTGGCACATGCATTCTTTTCAATTCCAATCATGAAGGAAGATTAGAAACAGCTTATATTCATGTTGGATAGAAAACAACATTTAACTAGATCTTTGTCTCAGGACTGTATGAACTCTCCTGCCTTCTGTCATAAAATAGTTTGAAGATATGCAGACCACCTGAATAGCCCACAGGGCATAATATCATGGTGACTATACAGAAGAAATAATAGGTGGCTAGTTAACTGGAGACTTTGATAAGATACATGCCCTGCAGAGGATGGGAGATAAACCCAATGAAGATGCAGGGACCTGCATTTTAATATAATAGTTTTAGGGATCCAATGATTAGGGGCATTCCTGAACATACCCTCCAAAGCAAAATACAGATTGCTGCATCTTGCATGCCCTATCACAAAGAAGCACAGTGCCTGTGTACTTATTTGATTCTGAAGGCAACACATTCTAGGGATACTGCTCCAGCCCATACACTGGGTGGCACAGGAAGATGCTAACACTGAATGGAGCCTGGAGTAGGAAAGGGCTGTGGATCAAGTCCAGACTGCAGTGCAAGCACAACCTACTGACGGAACCATGTGATCTGGTAGACCTATGAGGCTGGAGGTATCAGTAGTGGGACAAGATGCATTATAAGATGGAAATGGTACATCTGGGATCAAACCCAGGCAGAACCATAGGCACAAGTAAGTTGCATGAGATGGTGGCCCAGACCCCCATGTTATTCACCACGTCTGTACCAGGGCCCCTTCCCCAGCTGGCACCTATGGCCATATTGGGAGTGGTATCCCATCTGACCAGTAAAGCATGTGGAAGGACATAAGGGAATGGGCATGAAATCTGAAGGTTTTTGTATCACATGTTTACACCCACCAGAAAGTATCCACCACAAAAGGGGCATTGAATGCCCAAGTAGATCATTACAAAATTACTTGGCCACCTCTCATTAGCCAGCCTTCATCACTGGTCAACCCAGAACTGACGCAATAAGCATACAAATGGAACAGCCACAGTGGCCAAGATGGAGACTGTGCTGGGGCCCAGCTGCATGAACTCATTTGCCAAGATCAGTGGAGTTCCTGCAGCCTCTGAAAGTCCAACCTGCCCATGACAGAGACCTTGCTGAGGCCCTGATATAGAGACTACTAGCTACCTGGTGATAAATCTACTCCACTGGACCCCTTCCATGTTTGAAGAGCCCTCAGTTCATCTTCACAGGATATATAACTATTCCAGGTATGGGTTTGCTTTTACTGCCTAAAGGGCCTCAACCAGCACCACCAGCCAAGGCTTCCAGGATGCCTGATCCACAGACATGGGTCCTATCACATACTACACCATCTAGAAGTGACTTCATAGAATGCTGGAGTAGCCTTCAAACAGTGCAGTTGAAGTGACAGTTCAGAGGCAGTCTTCTGAAAGGATAAAATGCCATCCTTCAGGAAACATTACTTTAGAGACACTGATGGTACGTGTCCCCACCAGGAAGAATACATGGATCTGGGGACCAAGGAGTGAAATCAGGTGTGGGCCCTGCTTACCATCACTCCCAGTTGCCTCTGGGGAATTTAGTGCTTCCCATTACACTAAAAACCACAGCACCTTGGACTTCTGTGTCCACATGCCTGCAGGTGAGAAGAACCACCATCCTGGCAGTGGTTGGTGACCCTGAGCAGCAGCAGGACTCATGGTTCCTTTTGCAAAATATGCAGGAGAAATTCAGGTGAACCCCAGGGATCCCCTTAGATGCCCCGTGGTACTGCTGCCCCTTAGTAACTGTGAACAGACACTCCTAGCAACCACAGGCTGAAAAGGGGTCAGGACCCTCCAGCAGTGAGGTGTGGGTCAGACCACCAGGTAAGCCACCAAGATCTGCTGAGATGAGAGATAAAAGTGAGAAGAAATCAGACTGGATAGTGGAGGAGGGAGGGGATGACTGTGAGTTTGGCTCCTCTCCTACTAGCATCCCTCTTCTAAGTATCCCCTCTGGAGCAGAGGCCCATGGGAAGCACATAGGAGCTGTTCCCAGAACGTGCGTGGAGTAGATAGATCTGTACAACACAAAAGTGAGCTGTGGAGGCCATGAAACATGCCCCTTGGATCCCTGGCTGCTGAGAGAGCAAAGGGCATCCTTAGCTGCGAAACCAAAATCCACCTCTTCCTAGCCAGTGACTGAGCATGGCAGGGATGCTGGCCACTGGTCCCCAGAAGACACAGGGCTACTGTCTCAGGAAATGGGGCTCAAAGACTCATCATTGGCCTCCCAAAACTTTCTAAAATCTTCATCACAGTTCAAGGTTTCCTCTCCAGCCCTCCAGCCTTCCCTCTTTCTTCCCTCCTGTGTCCCAACGGCTCTCCCAGCTTCCTTTGACTTCCTCTCTGTATTAGCTTCCTGTGGCTGCTGTAACAAATCACCACAAACCTAGTGGATTAAAACAACACACATTCATTATTTTACAGCTCTGGAGGTCAGAAGTCTGAAATAGATCATCGGGCTGCATTCCTTCCTGAGGCTCTAAGGGAGAGTCCTTTAGAGGCTCGCGGAAAGACTCCATCTCTTGCCTTCTCCAGCGTCTAGAGGCCACCCAATATCTTTGGCTCATGCACCTTCCTCACACCATTCAGACTCCTGTTTTCATCATCATATCTTCTTCTCTGACTCTGCCCTCCTGTCTCCCTCTTCAAAAGACCCTGTGACTACATTTAGGTCCCACCCAGACAATCCAGGATAATCTGTCCAACTCAAGATCCTTAACTCAATCACACCTGCAAAGTCCCTATGGTTGTGTGTGGTAACATATTTATAAGTCCTGGGGATTGGGACATTGACATCTTTGGCATTATTTAGCCTGCCACATTCCCCTTTTCCCCAGAGGCATCTTCCCCAAGTAAATTTCTTGCACATCTAATTCTGTCTTGGTGTCTGCTTCTTGGAGAACTTGAACTGACAGTTGGATCACTCACTAGTGCCCCTTAGATACAGGCAATCAGATTGTTTGGCCTGAACCCCATGCCTCATGGGGTCCTATGCTCTGGAGTGCCTTCTCCAAACTTACTAAGTTGTCTTCTGGTGCCTGGGATTGACCAGGCTGATGGTGCCAACCAGGCAAGGTTCCTGGGCCTGACTGGGACTTGTGTGGATGGCAGGCCCCATGTCCCACTTCAGAACACATTCCAATCCTCTACCTCAGATGCTCTGAAGGGCTCTGAGACTTGTGCCTATGGGGTTGTCCTGAGGCCTCCTTGTCAGGCCTCAGTTGCATTAGACCAATAAATTTCATGACCAAAGGACAACTTACCATTCACATTTTTCTGCAGGCTCCAGGTAAGATCTGGGATTGTGGTCATCATCAACAAAGCACAGTAGCAACTTTGAGAGAATCAATGGAAGCCAGTATGTACAGATGCACAGTAGATGAGGCAGCGTCATGAGTAATGATGTAACCACCATTAAATACATGGTATTAGGGAACTGCAGAGGCAAGAAGATGTGCGTTGTAAGTAATAATCAAGTTGCATGAGAGATATACAACTAGCCAAGACTTATAACAAAAAAAAAAAAGAACATAAAGAGAGGCTTCCTGGACCTGAGCAGAAGGAAATGGTACCTGAACACTAAGAAGAATCTTTACAAAGGAAGGACAATAAATAATAAATATGTAAGTGCATCTTCTCTACCTATAACTCTAAATCAATCAATTGCCATGCCTCACAGGGGTCCCATGGATTTTGTAATACATTTTTAATGGAATTATTTACGGTAGACAGGGGCTCCACAAAAATCAATAAATAAACAACTGCCCTGGGTTTATCAACAACAAATACTAAATTCTAATATGAACAAGAATTATGCTAGACGTCATGGATACAAAAAAGAATAATGCACAATCCTGCCCTTTGTATAACTCATGGTCCAAACTTGTAACAAAGTACACAGAGGTAGTCAGGGGGTCCTGTGGCAGGACATAGAAAGGGGAGGTTCAGAGAGCACATCAAAATGGTTCTGTGCTGATGCTTCTTGTCAGTAAGCACAGCTCCGTTTGAGGGCCTGTTTAATGGGCATTTTCAGCCATTCTCTGAATCCAACTTTCTTTTCCTCTGATGAAACTTCTCTTTGCTCAGGTCTCCGTGAATCAAAGATTCTAATAAGATGCCTATGGCAAGATGGGAGAGACTCAGGTGTGTCTGTCCCAACAGCCTACTCTGAAGTCACCAAAATGAAGCAAGAGAAAAGAGTTGAGTGGTTAGCTAACCTCCTTCTTTCAGGCTTGTTTTAGTTTCAGAATCTGAGTGCAGTGATAAGATCCCCAACAACACATCATAGATCACAGTGAAAGTGTTGCCTAGTAATAGAGGTCTTTCAGGGGAAGATATGAAGGAGAAAGATGGAGGCACCGGCTTCTCCTGGGTTTTCCTTTGGTTCTTGGTCAGAATCAGCTCGGCGTCTCCACTAACATGGGGCTTCCAGCTCATCAGTCAGCCTTGGTCATACAAGCCACACAGGGTTTTCATAACCAGGGAAAATGTAGGAAATACTGAGCTGTGAGGCTATCTGAGGACATACAGGGCCAGTGAGCAACACTGACAACCTATTATTACTTGAAGAATTGCCTATCATTCCATTTATATGAGATACTTAGAGAAGTCACATTCGTGGAGACAGAAAGTGGAATGGTGGTGGCCAGGGGGTGGGGGAGGGGGAACGGGGAGTTAGTGTTTAGCTGGAACAGAGTTCCAGCTTTATAAGATGAAGAGTTACGGAGATGGATGATGGTGATGGATGCACAACATCATAAATGTACTGAATCCCACTAACTCTACACTTAAAAATAGTTTAGATGGTAAATTTTATATTGTGTGTATTTTACCACAATGAAAAAATTTGGGGAAAAAATGAAATGAAGCACATACTGACAGATGCTATAGCATGAATGAACCTCAGAACCATGATGCTAAAGTGAAAGAAGCCAGTCACAAAGGTCACGTATTGTATGACTACATTTATATGAAACATCCGGAATAGATAAATCCACAGGAACAGAAAGCAGCTTGGTGATTGCCAGGGCTGGGGGGTGGGAAGAATGGGGAAAACTGCTTAACAGGGATTTCCTTCTAGGGTGATGAAAATGTTTTGGAACTACATAGAGGTGGTGGTTGTACATCGTGAATGTACTAAATGCAACTGAATTATTACTTTTAAATGGTTAATCTTATATCATGTGAATTTCCCCTCAATAAATTGTTTAAAGTCAAAAAACATTGCCAATCAGGCCGGTGAGTGTGGGTGAGGGTAAAAATAATCAGGATAAGGTAGATGTGCCCAGTCTGGAGGTGGAATTTGACCCAGATCCTCCTCAGCTCCTGGGGTACTTCTCCGGGGACCTATTCACAATCTGTGAAAAGAAACCCACCTGCTGGCCTCAGCCACTTCCTCTCCTCCAGAGCAGTCATTTTTCTTTCTCCTTGGGCTCGCTGCAGTTATTCATACAAAGATAGGCCCTGTGTATTCACAGGGAGATATCAAGGATAAAGCCTTGGATCAGAGCAGCAGTGTCAGGGAAAACAAAATTTGTGTGACTGCTCAGTCCAAGGGCAAACCAAGCGTCCTTTGCTTTCCAACCATGACCTTCATTTGGCAATGTCACAGTGGCCCCCTGGAGCACTGCAAAGGCTTGCGAAGCACTGCGTAGGCACCTTGTGAGCCAGAGAGGGGAAAGGTGAAAGCATTGCTGGTTGAGGGAAGATGAGACCCATCCATTCACAGAGAGATGAAATGAGGGCAGTGAGAGGGGGTGGAAGGTGAGCTGGTAGCTTGAGAAAGAACCTAAGTTACTGTAAAATGTTTTATTTTTTAGAGAGGAGAAGGCAAAAGGCTCAAAGTTTTTTTTTAAAAGTCCTCTGATGAGGGAAACACTGACAGTACACGAAAGGGAGTAACGAAGAACAACGTGCCAGAGGAGATGGGAGGAGGGGAGTGGGCAGGGGGGTTCCAGACCCAGGGAGAGAAGTCCATGGCAGGGAGAGAACGGGAAAGATAGGAAATGTGGAGAATGTTTGCGGGTGTAGGGTGGGAAACTTCAGAAAGCACAGAGCAGATGGCCTTAATCTTCTAAGTGAGAAAGGAAGCAACATTGACTTTAGCTGGGGAGGCAGTTCAGGGCTGAGAGGGGAGGCTGAGCAACTCCCCAGTGGCCACGGAGGGTCTAGAATAGGGCATCCTGGGTGAGTAACAGCAGTGTTTCCCAAGCTTGCCTCAGGAGAAGAATCCCTGGCAGGGAGTGTCAGAATGTACATTCTTCAACCCCTCCCTGGAGACTGTCTCCGTACAACTGGGATGGATGGGACCAAAACTCTACACATTAGGGTAGCCTGAGCCTATACTTAACATCAGGCAAGTCTGGAGAAATGGGGAGTTAAAGAGCTGTTGAGCCGCCTGGAGAACCCAAGATAGGCTGGAGAACATGAAATTGGGGGAATCGTTTGGTATCCTTCTCACAGCGGAACACCGCTGCACAAAAGCCCATGAGGAGCAAACCAATGGTGGGTTTTAGCCACGGGTTTGGGGTCTGTCCAAGAGAGAGGAATTTATGCGAGAGGGTGGGGTCTTTCCAGGAGAGTGTGGTGGGAGGTCCAGAGCGTGGGGGTGACTGTGAGCACAGTCAAAATGCTTGACCTTGGACCCACACTTGGCAGAGAACAGAGTGAAGGCAACAGAGAATTGATAGACTGTGAGAATAGGAAAAGTGGAGGGAACAGGGTCAGGACCAGGAGGTCAGTAAGGGTGAAGAAATGGGAGAGGCCTGAGTAGGAGATGAGATTTCAGAGTTAACCATCGGGGAGTTGGAGTGTAAGCAGCACTTCTCAACTGGGAGGGCTTATTCCCAGGTTACCGATTCGACCAAGTACATCTTCCTGAGGCAGCAGTTTTACAGATACATTTGGAGAGGAAATTATTTTTATATTATAATAAACACATTCCATTGATTCACATGAAATAGTAAGATTAAAAAAAAAAAAAGACTTCAAAAGCGTTCTCCTGGCCGCTTCAGGCTACATGCCCAGTTTGTGTCCCTCTGTGGTAAGGGGAACCTGAGAGGGAAGTTTGAGAAGCACTGCTGAGGAATCTATACAACTAAAAGCAGACACTCCAAGACTGGCACTGGAAGGAGGAGCTCTCGGTAGGGATAAGTGGCTACTCTTTGACCTTTTCATAACTGGAACTTTATGAAGTTTCCAATAATTGACCATTTTTACTTATATAAATGGTTCCTTTATGTGATAAAACCTAAATCTCTGATTCACTTCAGAGGTCTCTCTCCCTCACCACCGCCTCCATTGTGTGGCCTCAAGGGGGCACTGCTCCTCCTTCTAAACTCTGTCCCAAAGGCAAAGGCCACTTCCTAGGCTTCCGGAAGCACCATACAGTCATACTTGGAACACAAAGTCTACTTAAAAAGGAAGTAACCAGAAAGAGACACATGAATCTGGACAGCACAGCCCCTTGTTCCCTGAGATGTGGCCCCCAGACCAGCAACATCAGATTCACCTAATAGCTTGTAGCATCCCTGGCCCCAAGCAGACCTATTGAATCAGAATTAGCATTTTAACAAGATTCCCCAGGTGATCTGAATGCATACTGATAATCGAGACGCTCTGGTCCAGCGGGCAGGATTCTGCTTACTGGGCATCTGCCTTCCTACCCTAAGCAAGCTGGGCCCTGTCTGTTTAACACCCACTCCCGGGAATACTCTGAAGCGCCTCCATTCCTCCAAATGGACAGGAAGCCTGACCCTCCCAGTAACACCTTCCTGTCTATCTTCTCTCAGGATGTATTAGCTATCTACTGCTACGTAACAAATGACCCCAAAACTTAGCTTAAAATAACAAGCATTTGTTATCTCACAATTTTTCTGGGCTAGGAATCTGGACATGGCTTAGCTGGGTGACTGTGACACAGTTTCTCACAAGGTTGCAAAGTGTTAGTGGTCTTCACAAGGCTCCACGTGGGGACATTTCACTTTGAAGCTCACTCATATTGGGAAGTCAGCAAGCCTCAGGTTCCCACTGGCTATTGGTCAGAAACATTAATCTTCTGCCACGTGGTTCTCTCCACAGGGTTAATCACAATATAGCGGCTTGCTTCCCTCATTGCAAGAGCTCTGGAAGGGGGAAGGGCAGGGGCAGAGAGACACAGACAAGGTGAGAAAGACAGAAGTCACAGTCTTTTGTAACCAAATCTTAGAAGTGACACTCTATCACGTTGCCATGTGCTATTGATTAGAAGAAAGTCACTACGTCCAGCCCAGGTTAAGGGGATGGGATTACACAAGGGTGTAAATACCAGGAAGTGGGGATCACTGGGGGGCCCTCTGAGAGGCTGCCTACCTCAGGGAGTGATCTCACGTCTAAGGGGCATACCTCAACAGAGCAATCATGTCAGAATACAAGAAAGTAACCTCCCTCGTCATATGG